ATTACCTAACAAAATATAACATTATAGTATAATTATTAAATATAATCTATAGGAATTCATAAAATATGTACATTAGTTATAAATTCATAAGCGTTCAAATATTATCTTATAAAAAAATAATGAAATGACAAATAACGACAATTTATTCTAGCAAGTATATATTTTTACTTAAAAATATTTTTATTTTTTCATTCATTTCATGAAATTTACTTATAAATTGTCAAATGTATTAAATTCAATATGGTGCATCCCATAAAATTTATGTTTTCTTCACCAATTTTGCAAACATTCTCGTACAGTCTTATAACGCATACTAATTTTACTAAGTTTGCAATTTTCAAGCATTTAATCTACGTAGCTATATAATAAAGAAGAATATATTTTAAAATTAAAATTAATCACATTACAAAATTAAAACTGAACTCAACGGGATAATCATATTTGTAAATATATACATATTCATAACAAAATTTTATACGGCTAAACCTTTAAACATAAACCCTTAAGCCTGTAACATTATCTTATTATATTTACAAATTAACATCTATTTTTGAATTCTTAGCGTCTATTAGTTATTTTATTTCCATGAGTTGATTCATAGAATAATTCTCCATGTAACTTACATTATTCAATATGCCCCTCAAACGGAATACATGATTTTAATTTTATACTTAATGATAAACTTAGGTAGAATTATATAACATATTATAACCTCTATCCCATGAAAAACTGTTAGGTGTATCGGAATACTGCAATATATTCCATTCTTTTTTATTGATGCTATTCAACTTATTTATTATTTTCATTATTACGCGACGGAAGAATGAATTATACGGTGTGAACTAATCCATAATAAAAAGATATATATATTGAAAAAAATTAATTTTATTGTAGTATATATATTTCATTGTATTTATTAAGTTATGTATAACATTCATTTTCATACATAAATATGTATAATAACATCATAATTAACCTCATAAAGACTGAATAATAAAGATGGTATAAGTATTGTCACAAGAGTTGAAATTATAATAGTACGTGCAGAATTAGTTCTGGGTGTGCTTACTGGCTTATTTTGAAAACTTAATGGAGCTAACATTTGATTTCTAATTTTAGAGCAACTGTTTGTTAACATTAATTCATTAAATACACTTTCAATATTTTCATATACATTACAAAAAAGGAGGCTACTATTGTCCTTACATTTTATGTGGTGACGCATGTATTTATCAAAAGATATCTGCGCGCATCTACACTTATCTTGTTCACTACAACGTTTAAATGTAGATCCCCTTATATCATTAATTATAGAAAAAAAATCACATAAATCTTTAATCTTTTCCCATTCATCTCCGTCTATATTATCCTGAAGTGCATTTGGTCTCATCGTACCAACATCACTTTTGTTATATATAGAGAGTAATTTTTCATAAATTTTTTTAACATTATCACTACTTTCTTCAGCGTTTAGCTGATCCATGTAAAGCCAATAATACAAGTATTTTAACCCATCCTTATACAGATTATTAATGCTACCATGTATAGTAAATAAGTATTTTATCGTTTTCGGGCATATATTGTTTTCAAAAATGGTGGTCTCAATACCTACGACATCTTTATTAGCGCGTTGGCATTCCCCATTATATATATTAATAGCCTCATTTTCTTCATCCATAATATTTTTATATTTAGAAAATAAAATATCTAATGGATTAAACTAAAAATAAAAAAAAACATAAGAGTGTTAAAAAAATTATACTTTTCTGAAAAATGCTTTAAAATATTAATGAAAATTGTACTATTAAATGCTTTTCTCTAATATAAACTATATTAATTAAACCGCACAATGTCGTCCATTATATCAGATACCTTGACACAAGTTTCTTTTTGAGGAATAAAATATTGCAGTGTATATAGAAAAGTAATTATGTATTTTAAAATATAAAAATAAATTGTATTAAATATTATTATGATGGCTTCATTATAATTATAACCTTCAAATATAAGTAACATAAAGTCACTTGATCATTAATATATTTTTAACATAAAATATAATATAAATGACTTCGTAGATGTAATGTATTCGCCTAGTTATTTTAATATTCATATATATATCAAAATGTAAATATATGGTTTGGAAAAAAGAAGAAAAAATAAAATATCATTTATAGATCAATTATAATGTAATAAGATGTGACACTATTTAAATATTATAAATTATAGCTAATAATACAAATTTAAATAAAGGATATAATACAAATACGTAATATTATCCAGAATTCAAACATATTATATTTGATATTTTCTTCTTAAATTTAAACTTCTTTATAGTACATGGGACTCAAAGTTAAGGATATAAAATACCTAAATAAATAAAGCATAACATTTAACATATAATCATTCAGTTGTGTAGAAATAAAATTTATAATGTATGTAGAATATGAATTATAATGTATTACATGGATTATGTCAAAGCTCGCCATAATTTTTGCATTACTGATTTAATATTTTATAGCTTTTACCATTAATTTTAGTCGTAATATAGAAATATATTATTTGTATTTATGTATTTATTTACATTAAATTTAAATACTATAAATTTCAATAATGTAAAATAACAACTCATTTTAGAGGAAACATTAAATATATTTTCCCATATTTAGTATAAAATGTATCAGTATGCTTTATGTTTTACTATTATGGTATTACCATATTTTTAAAGTTTTAACATCTGTTGCGTAAACAAATACAATTATTTAATAAAGCAAAATATGTTATTCTATATATTATAAAATGTGAAATATAAATTTTCCACTTATTATTCATATTTCATTAATACCAAAAAAAAAATTACACTTTATATCAGTCTATAAACTTTTGTTCTTCTTTTTTCATTTGAGTATAGTTTTTATTACTTTGTATTTCTCAAGATTACAAAAATAATGATTTATGCAATATATTATAATAATTACTACATATGTTACATTTCATAAATATCTATATGTATTTGAAATTTATTATTCCCACTGTTCTCGGATTTTTATATGTACTATGTTCATGACTTATTATTAAAGGCATGATTCAATTTCAAAAATAATTTAGTACGTACACAACATAATTGTATAATTAATATTGCTCACATCAAAAAGCAACACTTTTTATACTTATTTTATTATATTTTATATTTTTTTGAAATAATTTTTATATGTACAAAATGCATAAATATGTAAAATAATTAATTATGGCTTATTGTTTTATTATTATATAAGTTTATAAAAAATGACTCAAAACGTTTAGATTAATATAAGTATGCCTTATTTTTTTATACATATATATTAGGGAAAAAAATATATTTTAATTTACTCATTTGTATTATCATAACATTAAAATTCATCTACTACAGTATATATATTTTATTTGATATTATTTTTTTTTTTTGATCATATATTCATTATTATTATTAAAAATCCATTATAATAATGGAAGAAGGGAGAATAACATTAATTTATTCAAAAAAAATTCATTATAAAATTATTTTTGCCTTTAATTTACATATGTTTTATAATTAGACGAATAATATAGCAAAACATTAAGAATAAAAACAAATATTGCAAATAACATTATTGAACTTATGAATCAAACAATTAAACTTGTATGCAAGTATAAATGTATATAATTATATTATATAATTAAAAAGGAACAAAAGAAAATCAAAAATTGCATTTTCACCAATTAATGGGAAATTTAATATTGCATTCTTATTATTTCCTTTTCATTATTAGCCTTTTTTAGTGTTTACGGTTCAGGGATTAGTGTATCAGGGTTGAGTGATTAGGGTTTATGTTGTAGTGGTTCAGATTTTAGCATTCAATTTTCAAGGATTAGATTATTGTTTTATGGTTCATCATTTAGTTTTGTAGTTTTTATTTTATGGATTATTTTTATGAATTCATGTTTTTTTATTTTACTTGTGTGTTATGCTATAATCATTCTGGTTTTATGTTTTATTATTATTATTATTATTTTGTTAATATTAAGTTTATATTAATATTTTAATGTTTATTACATAGGTTTTTTTTTTTTGATTCATATACTATATATGTTATATCATTATTTACTTTTTTATTTTAATTTTTTTATTTTTAGTAACTATGTTCATGATATATTTTTCATATACATAAAGACCTAATAGCTATTTTATTATCATAAAATTATTATGTTAATATATCATATATATTATATATTTTATATTACAATTAATTTAGCGTTTATATAAAATTTCTATTTTTTGTGGCACATTTATTTTTTATATTATTCCATTTCTGTATATTTTAATTTATTGTGGATTTTATAAATTCGTTTTTTTATTATCTTTATATATAATGTAATTTTTAATCCATATTTCATAGTGTATATACACATATATGTATTTATATCTCGAAATCATAATTCTTGTGAATGAATTATTTTTTTTATTTATTTTTTTTATCGTCCTTATGAATATTTTCAATCCCACCAAATGTTTTATTAATTGAATTATAACAAATCTTTTTTTATAGTTCAGCTTAAAAGTAATTAAAGAGATACTATATCAAATAGATATCTTACAAAATAATGGTTTCTGCATATAATTTCTTTGTCCTTTATTCCCTTTATTTTGAAGGAGTTTTATTTCTTTTCTCATTCATATTGTTTCCATGGTTTAAGTAACTCTCATATGAGTTCGTTTGTCTTACAGATAATTGTGGAACTTGTTCTCTATATAATTACTCTTTTTCTTTTTCTATATCATGTCGCAATTTCTTTTGATTATCAAATGTACTATCAATAACAGGTGCA